CAGAGGAATCATTTCCTCCATGCTTCCAAGCGAAGCCAACCATGGTTGAGCAGGACCTTTGACTTATCCTCACATAGGCGGAACTGGAAAAAGAAAGGAGCCAGGGGCTCCTCCCAAGCCCATGTGACCCCTGAGGAACAGTCCTCAAACGACCTTAAGAGTAAAAATAAATTGGTTTATCTGGGCCAATTGCAGGGTCTTAAACAGCCAAAAGGAAAGTATAACCAAATTTCTGCCTACTTTGATTATTTCTTTAAGAGTCCATGTGTGGGACTGGAGAGATGGCTCAGCAGTTAAGATCACTGGCTGTTCTTGCACCCGGGTTTGATTCCCAGGATCCACATGGAACTGATTGCTGCTAGATGAGGAACAGCTGATCTTCCTAAAACAAGGCTCTCTAGATAGGTTGACTAGATTCTGCAGACAGTCAAGCATTGGGGAATGGCTGGGGTTGCCGACAACCCTGTGGACAGTAACAGGGATGACAGAGTATATGGGCTCCAGTGTGGGGGGGGGGAGGCTATGGGAGGGTGCCATTTGGGAAGTGGGTATATAGATGAATAAGATTGTGCGGGATGTTCTGTATGATATACATACAAAAAAAACCAACAAATTAAAAAAACATTTGAGGAGGAAGCATAAAAATGTACTACATGTTAAATAGTAGAGGTAGATTTTACCAGTGAAATCTACCTGATGACTTTATATCCATACTCAGGTACTAAGGATCCAAGTGTAACCGACTGTGACTAGTAATAATCAGATACATAGGGATTAAAGACGTGCAAATATCTAAGTGTTAGTAGCATTAAAAATGCAGGAAACAGCATATTTTAAAATGAAATGGAGATCTTCTTTAAAGGGTAAAAAGTCAATCAATTTTATGTCTTACAAGGTTTATACTGAGTTCAATATTGTATGACTGTGAACCTAAAAATTTACAGCCACTTTTAAAAATGTATCCTTGCTCTGGAATGTGTTACTGAATATGTTAAAGCGGTAATAAAATGCTTCTTCTAATCATGTGGTTATTAAATAAATCCTTTCAGCATGTTAACATTAGCCAGTTTATGTCCCTAAATACAAAGACCTTCCTTCTGATTCCTTCAGGATGCTGAATTTGAGTCTCATTTTTAAAATCAGAAAACCTTTCAGAATGACAAAGGGATGGGAGAATAAGTAGGTTAAAGGCAGCTGTCCCTATCTGGACAAGTCCTTGGAGGAGGTGGAAAAGAAGGAATACAGTTCTGGAGGTGTGCCATGGGTGTGACAGAGCATGAATCTGTAAAAAATGGCTCATGTCGCATATGAGGAATTTTAGTACAAACCTGAAGAATGTTGACTTAATTTCATGTGCTATAAGAAACAACACTCAAACAGGATCAACAGAATAGCCTTTAAAAGTTCAAAGAATCAACACAAAACTTTTTTAGTAGTAGGTAAACTCATAACTGAAAAGTTTTTTTCAGCGTATGTTTTTCATATAATGTTTAATGCTTATTTTCCAAAGTAGCAGCATTCTGATGCAGTCAGAATACAATTAGTTTGTTACATTTATTTTAAGAATTTCAACAGTACATACATCAATAATAGTATATTTGCCTGTTAGAAGACCCATTAAAAAATAAATTGGAATAATTTGGTACATCAGTACTCTCTTGTATTTGTGGCTATTTTTATGCTGCCAAACAGAAAGATCAGATAGATATAAAAAAACTCCACTGCAGTTACACAAAAATATCTAAAAAGCAAAGTCAAAGAAACATGAATGAACACTAGTATTTAGATTAAGTCTTACGTTTGTTAAAGGGCTGGGCTTTCCCCCATTTTTCCAACCCTAGAAAACATAGGAGGTCCTCCAGTATCTGGCACCAGACCTATGTTTCCATCTTTGTTTTCTAAAAATGAATCCATATTTGTCTATGCCCAAAAGTGTTTTTTTCACCTTCTTCCTGTTAAGGCTTTTTATTATTTTCCCATGTATAACCTGCAGTCACACAGTGAGGTCACGCTTAGGGTTTGTCTCCTTAAAGAAATCTTTATTACACATCATATCAGTAAAGGCCTTTCTTAATTCCTCTGAATATGTATTGCTTAGCATCTTCTTTAATATTTTATTATATAGTCTCAAAGTGCTGTATGTACTTCATCAGCATTTAAAAGTTAAATACAAGCCAGGAGTGGTGGTGCAAGCCTGTAGTCCCAACACTTGGGAGGCAGAGGCAGGCGGATCTCTGTGAGTTCAAGGCCAGCCTGGTCTACATAGTGAGTTCCAGGACAGCTGGTGCTACAGGGAGACCTTTTCTCAAAAAAATCAAAAAAAAAAAAAAAAAGTTAAATACAAACTAAAGAAATAGGAAATGTGGGAACAGAAAACAAAGAAGGAATGTAATTGTCTTTTTAATAACAAATATTTAAATAACCATAAAAAGCACAGTTGTGAACTTACCCCATTAAGGCTGCCTAAATCTTTCACCAAATGTTCATCCACAGATGTATCATAATTGATTACAGCATGCTGCTTATCCACACTACGAGACTAAAGGAAAAAATTTAAAGTTAATATGCCAAAAACTAGAAGAGTAACAAAAGCATTTTTCATTATAAATAATAATAATAGAATAGTTGATAAATACAGGGATATAAAAAAAGATTAAATGAGATTTTAAACTGAATTATGATACAACATAAGTTTCCTAAACAGGAAAGAAGCCAACTATTCAAAATAATTCTTTTCATTAAGCTTGTATTTTTAATTTGGAGAGAATTTAAATTAGCTGACTTTGTTAAATGTATCAAATTATATATTTTTTCATTAACCATTATTTTAAATTCTATTTGTACTTTATGAGTAATTTGCCTGCATTTATGTAATATAGTGTACTGTGTGTGTGCAATGGCCATGGAGACCAGAAGAGGATGTGAGATCCCCTTGAACTGGAGTTACTGACTGTTGTTAGCCACCATATGAGTGTTATTAGCTGCCATGTGGGTGCTGGGAACTGAACCAGGATCCTCTGCAAGAGCAGCCAGTGCTCTTAACTACCGAGCCATCTCTCCAGCCCCAAATTAAATACTTTAAAAAATTTGAAACTCACATAGAAATCAAGTCAATTATCAAGTTATGTGGTTTTATACATGTTGCTATGAAAATTTTACCTTGCTGTATTTTCTCCTTCTAATACTAAAAATTACAACACAAATTGCAGAAAGAACTCAAAGATTAATACAAAAGGGGACGTACTGTAATATGTTTCTTAACAAAATTATCTTCACTTAAAATGTGAATTCTAAAACTGGATTTTAGGACATGCTCTAGAAAGAAAAGAGTCAAAAGGAATTATACTGGGACTATGTGGTTTTAAAAATCTGCTTTTAAGTCCCCTTTATACTTGCTTCCCTTCTCTCTCTCTCGAGCTCACTCGCTTGCTCATTCCATGAGCTGTTTAAAAACGGAAGCACCTGTAAATTATAAGCCCGTGAAAACTGTGGAAAAGGAGTACCATGCAATCACAGGAAAGAAGAAACACTGAATGAACTCAACTGCTGAATGAATTCAATTACCACTCATTACAGAGCAATATGCAAACCTTGGTATATAAGAAGCAAAAGTGCTGTCAAAAATTGGGAGAAAGAGGTGACTTGGTTTCTAGGACAACACGTATGTTGAGCAAACAAAATATCAAAATCTCATCTCAGTTTTATCAGAGGGCAAACTACCTCAGTGAAACATAGGCAGAAACACAGAATGCCAGGTGCAGAAATCACTACTGGACCCATCAACTGGCAGGAAAACTTAGACGTTTATGTGATTAATTGCTGGAGACTTGAGTAAGGACTAGTAAAGCCCTTTAGGAGCTTTGTGTCTGGAAGCCCCACATGCCTCTCATGCAAAACATCCTGTGCCTCCAGCAAGGTAAAAGGAAAACAGATCTAGAATATTCTGTTCACCTGAGCAAAAGACTGAGCTCTAGGAAACAACTATTTGATCAGACCCTACTAGACACAGGAGAATGGTTATTATTCAACTGAAGCCTCTTATCTCACTAAGGGGAGTGAGAGAAAACAAAAACAAAAACTTAAGAAGTAATTAGTACTTGTGAAGACAGAACTGCAAGGAAAATATGAAAAGTAATCACAGTGCTACAGGACACATCTCTTCTGCAGAAGCCTTACCACATCAAGTGGATTTTAACAGAAGTGAACAGAAGGCATTACAACAGAAGAACTGCAAAGCGCAGGTTCTGTAAGAAGGAATCTCTAGGGAAATTCAAACAGAGAGAAAAACAAGGACACTAGAGAAAATGCCAGTCTCTGATACTGCAACTACAGCAAAAAGTAAATACAATCTAACTCCTGGACAGAGAAATAAAATAAGGTCGGCAACTGGTCAAAACAACAATCAAATGTGAATCCTAGTTCAAATGATACCTCACATAAATATTACTAAATTTTAAAATTAAAATCCCTTTCCCCAATTGGCCTACCACTCCATATTAAAAGTGTTATACTTTCCTTTCAGAATGCACCACTCTATTATGCTAAGTGCCAGTAGGAAAAAAAAAAGCACGTTTCCTCAATCTATCAACAAAACTTACAAATTCACCAAATATGCATATTATTCTTGAAATATATTTTAGTTTTAGTTTTCTCTGATACCTAAATATTTTTCCTTTGTGTGTATACATGTGTTTGTGTGTTCATCTGTGTGCAGGTATACGTCATGGACAAGTGTATGTATATGTGTGTGTAGGCCAGAGGTCAACCCTAGATGTCCTTCCTCAGATACTCTCATTTTTTTTGTTATGAGATGGACTCTCACTGGCTAAAACTTGCCAAGGAGGCTCAGCTGCTTGGCCAGCCCCAGGGATTCACCTGTCTGCCTACCCAGTGCTGGGAGCACAAGCACGTAGCATCATGCCTGGCTTTTCTTTCTTTCTTTTCTTTTTTTTGTATGTATGAGCGTATTTATTACCTGCATGTATGAAAGTGTACCTGTGTTGTGCAATGCCTGTGGAGGTCAGAAGACAGTGTCGGATACCCTGGAACTGGAGTTATGGACCGTTGTTAGTTGCCATGTGGATGCTGGGAATCAAACCCAGGTCCTCCGCAAGAGCGGTTAGTGTTCTTAACCTCTGAGCCATCTCTCTAGCCCCCATGCCTGACTTTAAAAACATGGATTCTGGATATCTTTTAGAACAAATTATTAATTTCATAATTAAAAGTTCTTCAAATAGCAGTACTACTAACACTTCATGGTCTACCTGAAAACTCATCTATTGTGGCATATTACAACTACAATGTTTAATTTTCTAGGTACTAGCATAAAACACTAAAAAATACTTTAATTTCTTACGTTCATTCTATTTTAAATTTTTTGCTATCTGCTCTTGCCTCTTCTCCTTCCCTTCCTTTTCTTTATTTTTGACACAAGGTCAAAAAGAGTTAATCCAGGCAAGCTCAGAAATTGCTATAGTCCGGGCTAGCCTCAAACTCCCAGTGATCCTTCTACTTTAGTTTTCCAATTGCTGGAATTATAGTTAAACCAGTTAACCCAGGCAAGTTTAGAACTTGCTATAGTCTGGGCTAGCCTCAAACTCCCAGTGATCCTTCTGCTTTAGTTTTCCAATTGCTAGGATTATGCATACATACCATACCTAGCTAATTTTTGCTCTGCTTAAACTAATAAAGTACTAAGTTCAGTTCTTAGAGTAATAAGACACAGTAGAGCCCCACCAAATAGCTGACCTAGTCTAAGTTTTAGCTGTACAGATACTGTAAGAACAGTGAGCTTTCAAGTATATGCAGTATGAGGGTTTACAAATGGTATGAATGTGCCTCCCAAGGGCTCCTGTGTTACAAGCTTGGTCCTCACTGTGGCAGTGAGAAAGGGGGAGAGAGACTAGAAAGAGGTGACTGGGACATTGAAGGCATTGCTCTGAGAAAGGATTAGGTAGTTCTCCTATTACTTCCCATGAGCTGGGTATTTACAAAATAGCATCATTGGAGGCTGGAGAGGTGGCTCAGTGGTTATAAGAGCACTTGCTGTTCTTACAGAGGACCCAGGTTTGGTTCTCAGCACCCACATGGTGGCCAACAATCTCTTATAACTCTAGTTCCAGTTCTAGGTTCAAGATCTGTTGCCCTCTTCTGGCATCCCTGGGCACTAAGCACACACACAATATGTACACATACACACATACATGCAGGCAAATCACTCATACACATTAAAAAATAACGACTCTTAAAAAAAAAAAAAACCAAGGAGCTGGAGAGATGGCTCAGCAGTTACGAACACTGGCTACTCTTGCAGATGACCCAGGTTAGATTCCTAGCACACACATGGGGCTAACAACTGTCTGTAACTCCAGTTCCAGGGAATCAGACTTCTGCTGGCACTACACAACACAGGTGCATTTACATACATGCAGGCAATACACTCATACACATTAAAAAATAGTATTTTTAAAAAAGAAACAAAAAAGACAGTTTTTTTTCTAACATCTCATCAGGTGATCTCTTGCACGCGTATTCCCACCATGACAACATCTACTATGTCAAGATGTCACCTTGAGCTTGCAGTCAGAATGAAGACTTTTCAGTCACTGTCTACTTAGTGCTAGGCAATCAATTTTCACACAACATATGAAAAAAATCAGGACATCAAACTAAAATGCTCTGCGTAATAAAGAAAAAAAATTAAATAGCAGCCTACAGATCAGGAAAATGTTTTCAAACTATACATCTGAAAAGAAATTAATATATAAATTTATTAAAAACGCTTACATATATGTATATATATATATATATGAAAAACATCAATCATCAAGGAAAGGCAAATTAAAACCACTATTGAGAAGCTACGTGTGGTGGGACACTATCTGTTATTTCGGCACTAGAGAGCCTGGAGAAGGATCATAAGTTCAAAGCCAGCATGGGCTGCTACAGTGCAAGACCTTGTCCCAGAAAATAGCAAGAATGACAAAATGTAAATAAACCACAAAGAAAAGCCACTTCACATCCATTATTAGAGTAGCTATTATTAAAAAGGCCAAGGATGAATGGTGGCAAGAGGATGGAAGAGAAGGAACTTGTTACCATGATGAAGGGAATGTAGATTTATGTAGCTATGCAGAAAATAGTATGGGCGTCTCTAAAGAAAAGAGAACTACTGAAATTATCCAGTACTCATTCTTCTAGACAAAAAAAAAGTGAAATCCTCAGAGAAATACCTAAACTCCCATGAATACTGCCCCATTATTTGCAAAAACCAAAATAAGAAACAATTTAAGAGCCTACTGATAAAGGAATGGGTTAAAATAAGTTGCAGTACATATATATAATGGAATAGTTAGTATATCTTAAAAGAGAACAAGGTTTCACCATCTTCCACAATATGGATGATGACCCCGGAAGACATGCTACTTAAAACAAACCAGACACACAAAGACAAAAACTGCATGACCTCACTTTTATGTGGAATAATCTTTTTTAAAAAGAAAAATAACAGCACTGTGTATTGTCGTGCATACCTATAATCAAGCACTCCAGAATCAAGAAACAAAAGGACAGGCAGATTTCAAGCTAACTAGGGGAACATGGTGAGACCTTGTCTTGAAAAAAAAAAAAAAGGGAAAATAGAGATACAGAGACAAACACACTGGGAACAGCAGTTACCACAAGTTAGATGCAGGTCAGAAGACACACGAGAGTAGATAATGAGAAAAAACAAGTATAGAGATGTAATGAAGGACATGAAGATTATAAAACTGTACTGTTATGGGGTCATACTAAATGAATTATCTACTGCTCTTATCACAAAATAAAAAATATATAACTATATGAAGTGATGGACATGTGATTTTGCTTGATTATTGTAGCCTTATTATCTATATGAATCATACTCAATTATGTTGTATAGCCTAAATATAAACCAAAACTGTATTTTAAAAATTATCAGCAATCTTTAATTATTCTTAAACTCCCAAACTATGGTAGATAATCACAATGATTATCTCTTAAAAAAAAAATCAGTGGACCTGGAGCGATGGCTCAGGAGTTAAAAGCACTGGCAGCTCTTGCAAAGGACCTGGGTTTGGTTCCCAGCACCCACATTGCAACAAAAAACTGTCCCTAACCCCAGTTCCGGGGGAATCTGATATCCTCTTCTGGCCTCTGTGTGTACTGCATACACGTGGTACACTTACATACATGCAGAGGAAACACTCATATACATAACCTATAAATAAAGAAAAAGTATCAGTGAAACTAAGTTCAATATCCCTGAAGTATGTAGGATTACAATTAGTATTACTCCATGCTATAGTAATTTTAAAAAATTATTCATGTCTTTTTTGTTTTTTTGAGACAGGGTCTCCCCTATAGCCCAGCTGGCCTGGAACTTACTACGCAGACCAAGCCATGAGTCTTTTAAAATGCCTAATTGGAAGCTTTTTGTTTTTTTGAGACAGGGTCTTACTATGTAGCCTTGGCTGGCCTGGAACTCACTATACAAACCAGGCTGGCATCGAATCCATAGAGATCCCTCTGCCCCTGCTTCCCAATAGCTGGGATTAAAGATATGTGCCACAACACTGGCAATTTGAAGCTTCTTAGTCAAGAATAAATATCTCAGGGTTAGGAAATGGCAGGATGAGGAAAGTGCTTCCTGTGTAAGCATAAGGACCTGAGTTTGCATCCCCCAGCACTCACATAAAAGCTGGGCCATAGTGAGGCAGGGTTAAGGAGATCCCATCTATTCTAACCAAAATAGCAAGCTCCAAGTTCAGTTAGACTTTGTCTCAAAAATAACATGGAGAGTTACAGAGGAAGATACTTGAAGGCCAGGTGAACTTCTGGCCTTCACATATGGACTCACAGGCAAGTGAAACTTCCTCCTCACAAGAGAGAATGAGCTTCTCTACTCTAAGCCTTCATTTTTCAAAATATAATCCTCAAAACATAAAACTTATTTATAGATGATACAAGGATAAAAATTAAAATGACACTAGTATTAAGAGATCCAAAAATCTTAACTCTGAATACTGTGGTTCTCTAAAGGAGTATTCAGCATTTGACACCTAGTCTAAGACGAGTTGCAAGAAACAGAGAAGGCTGATGGAGTTACCTGCAGCATTAGCTCACAGTCATCTCTTCCAACAAAAATCATTTCTCGTGGCAGCCTGTGGCGAGTGCCTCCACTGCTCACCAAAAACCAGGATGTTAAGCTCATTTCTGCTTAGCTTCTGAATCTTTGGCAAAGCTACATTATCCTGCAGATGCAAAGAAAAACAAACATTAGAAACTCTTAGCTTTAGCATCTAGTCACAAGTCCCATAAATAGGTCTAAAACCAGAACTGCATTCATCAACATTTACACCTGATATATACCACATTTTCATCAGTGTTGTAAGTCCAAAGTCTACTAGAGTCTAGTTAGAAAGGGAAGGATTAAGGTAAATAAGTAGATGGTCAACTAGTAAACTTTTATTACACTCTAAAAGGCTTTAGACTAGCTTATAAAGGTCTATAATTTCCAAGTAAATGTTCATGAAGTATGTTAACATTACAAAATAGTAATACTTACAAATAAATGTCTTGCCTATGAACCTTTTGAGAAAGGCAGATAAAACAGTGTATCTGCTATCTACTTAAGAAATAACTGTGGAAGCCAAAGAAATTGCTTCTTTGTCTATCAAGTATAGATTTACTGAAAGCAATTTGAGCAATATAAAGTTCTAATTCCTTCCTCTTTCCTCTTCCATTTCAATTCTCTCCTCCTTTTCCTTCTCCATGTTCTCCCTGGAACTTGCAAAGTAGACCAGGGTAGCCTTGACTTTGGATCAATTTGCTTGCTTCCGTCTCCTGAGTGCTGGGATTACAGGTGTGAGCCACCACTTAATTTTCTTAATACATTTTTTTCCTAGGGTAGCAATTCTTAAACATCTGTTTCTTGGGACCCTCTAACATTTTTTTAATGGATCCTTAAGAGTATTTGTTTACATGGGTTAGGGAAGATCTGAAAAACTAGTATTAATTTATTCAGAATAACAGTAGCTAAGCATTTAAATTTAAAATTACTAACACTTGTAGAAAAAGTTGTTTTATAAAATCCAAATAGTGAGAAAAATAGCACTACTTAAAATGTTGGTTATTTTTTAATTGTTGGCTTAATAAAAATATTCCTATCTTGCATTAATTACTACAATTTTTCAATTGGAAATATATAAAGAAAACTTGGATTCATACAGTCAGAGAAAGGATTCATTTTAATAGTCCTTTCAAATATTTGTGTGGCGTTTTCTTAGCTACTACACCAAAACTATACAAGTGATAGTTTTTTGTTTTTTTTTTAATCACATGCAATATGGAAGCTGTGCATCAAAGAACCTTTCACACACTGTTAAGCACAAATTCATCTTCTACCCTGATGGGATTTTGTAACATCATACATTGGTCTTTCGGAAAATAATGGCTTCCAGAATTATGTGGATCTTCCAAATGCTTGCATATTTCATTTACACTATTTTAAAACACATTCATTAATATCACCACCCATCTCAACAGAAAAGTCTCTAAATATTAGGAAGCTGTTAAGCTCTAAAGGGCAGAATCATTATCTCAAGTTCTAATTTTCTCTTGGTAGCTCAAAAAAAGAAAAAATCCAGTCACTTTTCCTTGAGGCTCACTTTGACAAATACCCAGCTCTACTCAACAAACCTGTCCATCACTATTTGAAGTATAAGTGGTGTTTTATGAAACTAAGTGCCTAGTTCAGCTTGCAGCTCCCACAATTCATGTTCTGGGGGCAGCCATGACAGTCTGGCACACAGCCAAGCAGTCCATATGTGCACTCAGCTAGTCATGCAGAGTATTGGAAAGATGTGGCTTAAAGGTCAAGATCTAACATAATTCATTTTTTACCACTCTGTCAGATATTCTTAGGTGAAGCTAGTGGGTCTTACTGTTTTAGGTGCATGCGCACAACACTGATGACTACAGCTAGTATAGGCGGCTGCCACTGCCTTCATCTGTGCCACTGACTAGTAAGTTTACTGCCACTGCTTTGTATCATTAACTCAAATGGCAGGGCTGCCAAAGGGGCAAAAATCCTTTGATAGCACTGAACATGTTGATCCCATGGACCTTTGAAAGGATTGCAGGGACTCCCAGGGACCTATAGACTGAGTTTTAATAATATCCTTATGGGGAGCTGGAGAGATGGTTCAGCAAATACTGCGCAATATTATGGCAAAAATCCTAAATGTTGTACGTTGTGTAAGTCATCTACACATACATGGAACAAAAAACAAGCAAATAATTTTGTGTAAAGCTAAAACAAGTCTCATTACCTTCTCATCCTATTTAATTGATATGGTCAATTTATGTGGATTAAGTTACCCACCTATTCAATGAAGATGTTCTTAGTCTTTTAGATACTTTTTATAAAGCTGTTTTTTTTTTTTTTTTCTCCCCACTGCTTCAGAATGCATTCTTCCTAGCCAAGTGAGTTGAGAATCAGCACTTCACCAAAGGAAAATCTTCTTTCTAAACATATTGTATAATTTGCATACTGCATTTACATTTTAAAAACACTGCATAATAAGTAGGTCAATAATTACATACTTTTTCAAGGAACAAAAAGAACACTACAAGGCGGGTGTGCCCAGCACACCTTTAATCCCAGCACTTGGGAGGCAGAGGCTGGTGGATCTCTGTGAGATCGAGGTCAGCCTGGTCTACATAGTAAGTGTCAGGCCAGCTGTGACTACAGGGAGACCATCTCAAAAAGATTTAAAAAAAAAGAAAAGGACACCACAGTAAGACATGTTCAGCACAACTAAAATACAGGAGCCAAATACGGACAACAGGAACAACTTCTTAATGTAGTAAAACCACAGTTACAGATAAGAACCATTCATATGCTATAAAAAACCCCTTAACAATTCTTTATGGGTTTAGAGAGCATGAAACATAATTATAGTTATGTAATATATACTTTGATAAAAAGATATAATTGCATTTAGACATTACAATTACATAAAATAATACAGTTTAACGGCTCTTTACAAATCAAATTTTGGCTTTTAATGAAGCTTAAAAGTTAGAGAACACATATATTCTGTAAAACAAAAATAATATGGGGAATTTAATTCTTTTTTGGGCCAAGGAAATGACCTTGAGTCCACTAAATAGCTTCTCTTCTGTGTGGGAACATAATATAAACACAAAGCTACAGTCTCTGTTTTCCTCTAAGACATCTTTCCCTAAGAAGCTTTTCTGGCATTCCCTCTGGTACTATTTTTCTTTATTATGTGTGTATGTGTGTAGTATGTTTGCATGTTTGTGGTACTAGTGTGTGTGAATGCCAGAGCTTGATGTCATGTGTCTTCCTTGATGGCTCTCTATTTACTGAAGTAGGGACTCTTCCTGAACCCAGACTTTACCAATCCATATAGGTCTAATAGAGAGAGTGCTCCAGGGACCCCTTTTCTCTACCTCCTGAACTTTGGGATTACAGGTGGATCATTGCCTACTCCCTATCAGTTCTGGGGATCGAAACTCTAGTTGTATGGAGTACTTGTGTGACAAGTGCTTTATCCACTAAGCCACCTCTCCAGCAAAGTAGGTTCTCTTTTTCTAAGCACTACTAACCACACACAAATAAAAAGGAAACTTGGTTGTTTCCAGAGGTGCCAAAGCAGATGCTCCAACTGAGGTGTCTCAAAATGGTGGCAAATGGTTTTAGGTTTGTAATTTATACAAAGTATGATCAAGATCTTAATCAGATGTGAAAGTAGTCATATTCTTTCCAGTTTCTGAATTATTTTCAAGAAGATGTGGATTTTAGAACAGACTTTCCAAGTTAAATTCTTAGTCCTTTAGGGGCTGGAGAGATAGCACAGCAGTTAAGAGCACTGGCTGTTCTTGCAGGAGACCCAGGTTCGAATCCCAGCACCCATATGGCAGCTAACAACTGTCTGTAACTCCAGTTCTAGGAGATCTGACAGTCTCTTCTGTCCTCTGTGGGCAACGCACTTACCTACGTTCAGGCAATACACACAAAATAAAAATAATAAATAAAATATTTTTAAAAATTCTTAGTCCTTTATATTTTCAAAGTGAGACTGCTAACACGCTAACACACACACACACACACACACACACACACACACTCTTAAGATGCAACTGACAGCAACTGTATTTTGGAATTCTGGTAGGTAGGTACAAGGGGTTAGTGAACGTCAAACTTTCCCATGGCAGCACCTATCATCATTCTTTCCCCATCCACTGACCCAGTGCCCAGAGCAAACAGCCTGGAGACACTCCTGTATTCCTGATGTAGCTTCTGGACTCAGTAGATAAAAGGGATCTAGTAGTCTCAACATCAGATTACATGTTCTGATTGCTGTTTCTGATTAATGAGGGGCTACTACAAAGGCTGCCCAACATCATGGGCCTAAGCAGCTTCGCAAGAACTGACAGTGTTTATATTCCTGAACTATGCATTTCAAAGCAGTTTTATAACATCACTGGCTGACTGCAGAGTTGATGGAGAAAACTTTGCTGACTACAAACAGCAAAAACAGCAAAAGTTATAATAAACAGATGGATTTAGTCATAAACTAAGATTTTTCATAGTTAAGAAAAAGTGGAAAAACCTTACCGATAGTCACACAACTATCCAAATAATCTAAGAATCTCAACAAACTTCAAGTGGGATCAATTCAGAGACCCACACCAAGACATATTACATATAACTCCAACTTATAAATGGGCAACATACCTAAATATCTGTTTCTTAAAAGAAGGCAAGTAGCCAACAGTTGCCACCATAGAAATGCAAGTCAAAACCAAAATGACCTATCACCTCAATCCAGTAAAGAACAGTTACTGTCAAAACCCCCTGAAAGGTATCAAGTGCCAGGAAGAACTGCAAGTGGAATGTACATTGGTGGAGTCATTATGGAAAACAGTACAGAGGTCTTCAAAATATTAAAAGTACAACTACCACACAATGCAGCAATCTCACTCACATATACAAAGGAGGCAAGATCCATGCAAGAAACATTTGCATTCCTATGCACACTGCAGCACTATCGACAACAGCCAGGAAACAAACAACTTGTGTCCACACACTCACGAATGGCTAAGGGCAATATGGTATACAAAGAGAACACCATCCAACAACAGAGTATGAAGTCCTGTCATTCATGATAATGTGAATAGAAATGGAGATTATCAGGTTAAGTGAAATAAGCCAAAAACAGAA